CTCGCCCCCACCCCTGACCAGACATCCTCCCAGGATTCGGAAAACCGTCAGAGCTGCTCGCTGGCTCTTTAGCTGCTAACATCCTTCAGCACAAGAAGGATGCATGTGGGAGTCAGAGGACAGCTTCCAAGAGTCCATTCTTTCCTTCCATTATGTGAGTCCCAGGGATTAAACCTCGGGTCACCAGGTTCGGCAGCAAGCACCTTTACCCACTGAGTCACTTCAGATCTCTCCTTCAATATTTTAAAAAAAGATGTGTGTACTTGGACTTGTGGGCAAAAATTCCATGCCTGCAAAGAGGTTGAGAAATCTAAGACTCCCCCTGTGCCAAGTGCCTTTTCTTGTTTTTTGTTTTTGTTTGTTTGTTTTGTTTTGTATTTTCTTTCTTCTTTTCCTCCTGGCAAATGATGCCCTCATTACTTCTTGCCACTAGCTGGTGCTAGGCTTCCATGTAGCAAGCACACAGGGACACTACACTAACCATGACCAGTCACCCGAAGTTGGCTGTTCCCTGTGTTTGATGAAATGCCCTTATGTCTAGTCCACTGTTCACTACAGAGGCAGCACCTTCTGTCCTTCCTTCCGGGAGTGTTTGTTACATCAGAGCTGATGTACACTAACATTGGTGATTTCTGTTTGAATGAGATGACTTCTTGAGTCTCTCAAACGCTAGGATTTTCTGACTTCATCAGCACGTCCATTCTTGGCACATAGTTTATTTTTATAGTTTCCTTGACTCCTTCCAAAGAGTTTATATTTGTCTAGAAATTTTAAAGATAAAGATAAAGCTGGGCATGGTGGCGCACGCCTTCAATCCCAGCACTTGGGAGGCAGAAGCAGGTGGATCTATGTGAATTTGAGGCCAGCCTGATCTACAGAGCTAGTTCCAGGATAGCTAGGGCTGATACACAAAGAAACCCTGTCTCAATGCCCCCCAAAAATACATATACAGATAAAAACACCAGTTTCCATATTTGTGCTGTGAAAGCCTCCCCCCAAACAAAGCAACGGAGCTAGTTGGCCAGAACTGTTTGACGATTTTACATCATAACATCTGCATGTGCTGAATTGTAACATGTATGTTTTCCTATGAATTTATTAGTATATCCTCAACTCAAAAAGCACGGTTCTTCTTTTTTAAAATAGATTTATTTCATTTATTTGATGTGTGTATTTTATCTGCATGTGTGTATATGCATTGTGTGTGTGTGCAGTGCCCACAGTGGCCAGAAAAGAGTGCCTGATCGTGGAATGGGAGTTATTGGAGTTGGAATTTTCTTTGGAGACTTATTAATAAATGCTTGGCCTTAGCTTAGGCTTGTACCCCTAGCTCTTTTTAACTCTATTTAAACTGTTTCTCTTCATCTGCATTTTCCCTCAAGGCTTTTTACCTTTCTTTCATTCTGTATGTTCTATTTTCCTGCTTCTACTGTGTCTGCTAACTGGCCCCTGGTGTCTCTCTGTCAGCTTCTTTTCTTTTTTCTCAGAGCCTAAATTCCTCCTCCTACTTACTCTCTCTGCCTGAAAGTTCTGCCTCTACCTCCTCCCTTGTTATTGGCTGTTCAGCTTTTTATTAGACGGATCAGTTGCCTTAGGCAGGCAAAGTACAACAGCAACACATCTATACATAACTAAACAAATGCAACACATCTTTGCATAAACAAATATTCTGAAACAAGTCACAGATGGTTGTGAGCAGCCATGTGGGTGCTGGGAATCAAACCAGGATCCTCTGGAAGAGCAGTGAGTGCTCCTACCCTCTCGGCTGTCTCTCCAGCCCCAGAACCTTCTTCTCTTGTTCCGTTGCAGATTCAGTTTTCCTAATTCCCTCTCCCCTCCTGTTTCCTTACCTCACAGTATTCTCCTGGGCTCTCTTAGGATGCTGAACAGTGATGGCAGCAGCTGACTTTATTTTGCTACTAAGTGCAAAGGAAGTACCTTTGCCTTTGATGAATTTGCTGGGATGTTGTTTATCTGTTTTCTGAGGTTTATCATAAATGCATGGTGCTTTAGCAAATACTTTTCTGCAGCTATTGAACTAAATAATGAAGCCTTTCACTTAATTTATGTTTTTTTCATTTATTTATTGAATGATTGACTGTGTACACACATGTGTGCTTGATGTGTGTGTGGAGGTCAGAGGACAACTTGTGGGAGTTGGTTCTTTCCTTCCACTGTGTGAATTCTGGGAATTGAACTCAGGTCGTCAGCCTTGGCAGTAAGTACCCTTATCCACTGAACCATCTTAACTTTTCTTCCTTTCTTTCTGATTTTTATGTTACTTTTGTTTGGTTTGTTTTTCTGAAACAGGGTCTCAGTTTGTAGCACTGGCTGTCCTGGAACTCGATCTGTAGATCAGGTTGGCCTTGAACTCACAGGGATCCACCTGTCTCTGACTCACAAGTGCTAAGATTAAAGGCATACACCACCACATTGCCCCTCTCATTTAATTTCTTAATGCTGTGGATGATGTTAATGAATCGTTAAAAATCATAAACCAACTTTTGTATCCCTAGTATGAATATAATGTGACTATCATATTATATCCATTTTATGTGACATTGAATTTGGGTTTTTTGTTTGTTTTTTTTTTAGGATTTTTGCCTTCATGTTCCCAAATGAGATTGGCTGGTTGTTTCTCCTCTCCTCTCCTCCCCTCCCCTCCCCTCCCCTCCCCTCTCATCTCCTCTTCCCTCCCTTCCCTTCCTTTCATTTCATTTCCCTCTCCTTCCCTCCCTCTCTCCTTCCTTCTCTCCCTCCTTCCCTCTCTTCTCTCCTATATATTTTTAGTCAAGGTGTTATGCTCAAGCTGGCCTTTAACTCACTACAGCCAAGGATGACCTTGAACTTCTGATCATCCTGCTTCCGTCTCCTAATGCTGAAATTACAAATGTGCGCCACTATTCCCAGTCTGGGTTCTGGGAATCTAATCTAGATTTAGTGCAGTTAGGCAAGCACTCTACCTGGTCAACCACGTCATCAGCCCAGAATTTTCTTTCTTTTTAATTTCTTTGGCTATAGACCAAGGTTATGCCTCCAGGAAACAGCTGGATGGTCGTCATTTTCTGTGACAGTGTGTGTGAAAGAGAATATTTGATGACAATCTCCAGTAAAATCAATGGAGTCTGGATATATTTTATTTTTATTACCAATTCGGTTTCTTTGAGAGTGGCAGAAATTGTCAGTTATTCTGTCTCTTCTCAAATTGATTTTGCCAGCTAATTTTCTCCTGAAGGATTTGTCCATTCTATTCAAGTCATTGTCAGAGTCATTCATCATATCTTATGATGGTGGCTCCTGCTGTGACAGCCCTGCTTTATTTCCAGTCTTGGCTCTCTCTCTCTCTTTCTCCATCCTTCAGAGATTCTAAAGAATTTGCACTTGTGGCTTCTTTAAACCTGAAGAATTTTTTATGTGTCCAGGGTGCATAGTCCAAAATAGCATACAAATCAAATATTTCCTGTAAATAATTGTAAAAAAAAAAACTTGTTTCATTTATTTAAAAATTTTATGATTATACTTCACATGTATGAATGGTTTGCCTGCATGTATTTGTGTGTGTGTATCACATGTGTGCCTGGTGCCCAAGGAGGTCAGAAGGTTTATTAGAGCACCTGGAATTGGATTTACAGATGGTTGTGAGCTGCCATGTGGGAGCTGGGAACAAAGCCTGGGTCCTCTGCAAGAACAGCAAGTGCCCTTAAATGGTGACCTATCTCTCCAGCCCCCAAGAAAGTTATTTTAACACAATTCTTTTGTATACATATCATTTTACCATTTGTTATAAACAAAGCAAATTTTGTTATTAATGAGATAGATAAGCTTGTTTGGCATATTATAATCCAAACATACACTAACTTGATACTTACATGCTATGGAATAATGGTAGGCAAATATTAAAAGCTTTTGTTTTCTTGGGCTGAAGAGATGGCTTGGTGGGTAAGAACACTTGCTGCTCTCTTAAGTGGGATTCAATTCCCAGCACCCAACCAGGTGGCTCACAGTTACCTATAACTCCAGCTCCGGGAGATCTAGCACCTTCTTCTGGCCCCTACAGGCACCACACATACGTGAAATATACTCATACAGATATACACACATACACATAAATAAAAAATAAAACTAAATCTTTTTAAAAGTCTTTGCTAAATGGTCTGATGGGTTCTTAGAACTGTGTGAGATCTCTTTTCAGGAGACATGTTCCCTCTCTGGCTGGCATCTTTTCTTTTTCCCAGCATGAGATTCCTAGGAAAATTCCCATTTCTCTGGGGTCCATTGCTTCAGTAGTCTGATATTCAAGTTGTAAGATTGGGAGACACAAGTGTCTTTAGAATATTTCATTTCTGCGAGCCCTGTCACACATACTCTTTGTCTTAGTCAAAGTCCTATTGCTGTGAAGAGACACCAAGACATGACAAATATTTCTGGTTATTTTGGTTTTTTGTTTTGTTTTGAGACAGGGTTTCTCTGTGTAGCCCTGGCTGTTCTGGAACTCTAGACCAGGCTGGTCTTGAATTCACAGAGTCCCTCAGTGCTTGGACACAGCTACTCTTCTAGAGGAAAACATTTCATTGGGCTGACTTACAGTTCAGAGGTTTATTCCATTATTGTCATGGGAGGAAACATAGTGGCATGCAGGCAGACATGGTGTTGGAGAGGTAGCTGAGAGTTCTACATCTAGATCTGCAGGGAGAAGGAAGAGAGAAAGACACTGGGCCTGGCTTGAGCATCTGAAACCTCAAAGTCCCACCCCCAGTGACATACTTCTCTAACAAGGCTACATCTCCTAATACCACCACTCCCGATGTGCCTATAGGGGGCCATTTTCACTCAAACCACCACACACATTCTGTTTTATCATTTCAGTTTTGAGATCGAAGTTGCCTGTATAATAAACAGAATGAAACTAGGGACCAAGGTTAAAATACATTTAACTAGTGCCAGGTAGCCATGTATAAGGACTACTTTTCATAACACCTTGGCCTTTTCTTATTTCATAGGATGAAACTGAAGCCCAGACAATGATGAGTCAATGATTAGATGTGCACATTCTTCGTCCAGGACCCTGAAGATAGACTTGGGGGTTTGTTGTATCTCTTTGTTCTTCTTCCTGGTGAGTCTACACTGAATAAATCTTTTTCTGCTTTCTACTTAAAGGCTTTTTGTTTTTGTTAATTAAAGCATACATTTTTTATAAGAGCAGAAAACTGTATGTACAATAAAAACACAACAGTTGATAATATGCAACAATTCTGCGTATGAACCAAGGTGGCTCAGTGTTTATCAGAGCTGTGCTCTGAAATGACACACAGTGAAAAGTGCCTGTGTCATGTGTTCAGAACTGAGGCTGCAGAGAAGTTGTGTGTGCTGCTCATAGAACACTTCCAGGAACACCTTGGATCCATTGTGCATTGGATTTTGAATGAATTTTTGGTCAGTGCATGTTCAAGAACCTTTTACTGTTACCACAATTTTCACAACCTCTTATTCAGACATTTGGACCCATGTGGGATTGTGACCCACAATTTAAGAAGCTTTGTCTTGGGGCTGGAAAAAAGGGTCTGTAGCTAAGAGCACTGGCTCCTCTTCCAGAGGACCTGGGTTCGATTGCCAGAACCCACGACCATATGCAACTACAGTTCCAGGGGACCTGACCCCCCTCTTCTGAACTCTGCTGGCACTGCCTGCACATGGTGCACACAAATAATCATATGGATAAAATAAAAACAAGTAAATAAGTCATTTTTTTAAAAAGGAGACTTTGTCTTAAATCCCAGAGAGTTTTCCACATAATTCCTTTTAAAGAACTGACTTGTGGTGTTGTAGAATCTGTCTGCTGTCTGTACGTTTCGTATTATTTCTGTTCTTTAGTATTATTCTTTTCCTTGCACTTTTTTTGTGTATACGAGGTTTGTTTTTCTACCCCACTGCTAATGCTCCTTATAACTTGATTTGTGTGGGGGTCAGAGGATAACTAGTGCCAGTCAGTTCACCCCTTCTATCGTGTGGGGCCCAGGGAATCAGACTTAGCATCAGGGCTTTTACCCACCTAGCCATCTCACTGGCCCTTGGTCAGCTTTTTATTTATTTATTTATTTTGAATCATAGTTATACTCAGACATCCTCCAGAGACTGCGGAAATCGTGTCTGGAAATGTGCAGAATTGTGAGCCTTTCAACATTTCTGGGAGGAAAATGTTGCCGTCTCCTGGCCCCTTCTTTTTAGATTTATTTATTTTCATGCATATGAGTGCTGTGCCTGCATCTATGTCTGTGCACCATATGTGTACTTGGTGCTTTGGCGGGGGGCTGGAAGGGGCATGAGGTCCCCTGGAACTGAAATTACAGATGGTTGTGAGCTGCCATGTGGACATTGGGAACCAAACCTGGGTCTTCTGCAAGAGTGTAAGTGCTCATCATTGTTGAGACATCTCTTCAGTCTCTCTGCTGGTCACTTTGAATAAATTAAAAAACGGAAAGAAATACTAATTTTGTGACTAAAGGGAAAGGATCATTTGTTGGCCAAGATAAACACACAGATATATTCAAAGACTTTGGAAATTTCCACATATCAAGTTTCATTTTATTACGTTGTTGTCATCATAAAGCAACACATATTCACAGTGTAGAGAAAGACCACCCCACAGCACGCCACCACCTCTGCTTGACAGCAGCGGGTGTTGGATTCTCCTGCTCCCTCTGTGTCTGGGAAATGAGATGACGCGGAAAACGAAGAGGAGCATCATCCTATTAGGCCAGCTGATGGGGTTTTTTTCTCCCAGATGTCACTGTGCATAGTACAGATACCAAGACAGCAGTGCGAGAAATGGAGTTGTGGAACTCTAAATGATAGGGCTGCAAGGAGGTAACAATGGTTTCCCATAATACTGCCATATACTTTTCAGAATGTTCTCGATTCCTAGCCTGTTGGTCGCAAGATGCTGAATATTTGAAATGGAAATTGTTTTACCTTAGCTGAGAGCATCCAATAACCAGGACATCAATCATGTCAACTGATTCAAACGCACAATCAATCTCAGACAATTGGAGAGGAAAAAAATCTGTCTGCTACACAGTCCATCAAGGTTACCTCTAACCTAAGATCTAAATGTTATTTTCTTACTTATTTCATTATTTGGCAGGGAAGGTTGCCAGTCCATAGTGCGAATGTGGAAGTCCAACGACAACTTGCAGGAGTCAATCTCTCCTTCCGCTACGTGGGCTCCAGGAATCCAGTTGTCAGGTTTGCACAGAAATGTTTTACTTACTGAGCTATCTTATTAGTCACTTAAATTTTATTTTAAATTAGCATTCTTCTTCCTTTCTTTTCTTTTCTTTTTTTTTTTTTTTTTTTTTTACTGAGATGTAATAGTCATACATCATTATGGGTACATTATGGTAATTCCATAAATGTTGACAATGAGTAATGATCAAATTAGGGTAATAAGCATTCTGTCTCTTCAAACATTAATCATTTCTACAAGCTGAGAATGTCTTCTTTACAGCCATTTAAATCACAGAGGCTGGAGAGATGGTTCAACAGTTAAGATTACAGGCTGCTCTCCCAAATGATCCCAATTCAATTCTGAGCACCTAATATGATGGCTTACAACTGTTTGTAACTCCACTTCCAGGGCATTTAGCACCACCCTCTGGTTTCCTCAGACACTACACACACATGGTGCACAGGTATAGACAAAAACTTATATATATGAAATAATTTTTTAAAACCATAGGCTGCTTTAACCAAAAGTCCCTAACTGTGCACTAGAAAACAAAAACTAATTGGTCCTCTCCAACAGGGTTGAGGCCTCTTATTTAACTTCTGTCTGTCATCCTAATTCTCCTCCTCCTGTCCCAACCAGGCTCTAGTGACCATGGCTGCAGACCGTCTATCTATGAGTCTTGCCTCATGTGGTGTGTGTCTTTCTGGGTCTGGGCTATACCATTTTACATGACAACCTCTAGTTCTATCAGTGGTGCTGCAAATGACAGAATTTCATGGCTGGATAAGTGTCCTGTTTGGTTTTTGTTAACTGGATACAAGCTAGAGTCAGCTGTGAAGAGGGAACATCACTTGAGTAATTGTGTGGTGGTTTGAATAGGTATGGCCCCCATAGATTCAGGTGTTTGAATGCTTGGTCCATTGGGAGTGGCACTATTAGGAGGTGTGGCCTTGTTGAAGGAAGTGAGTCACTGTGGGGGTGGGCATTGAGTCTCCTATGTTCAAGCTATGCCCAGTGTGGCACACCGTCTCCTTCTGATGTCTACAGATCAAGATGTAGAACTCTCAGCTCCTTCTCTAGTACCATGTCTGCCTGCACACCACCATGTCCTGCCATGATGATAATAGACTTAACCTCTGAAGCTATAAGCCAGCCCCAATTAAACGTTTTCCTTTATAAGAGTTGCTGTGGTCATGGCATTTCTTCACAGCAATAAAACCCTTACTGAGACTAATTGTTTCCATAAAATTGACTTGTAGGCAAGCCAGTGGGGGCATTTTCTTTTTTAAAGATTTATTTATTTATTATGTATACAGTGTTCTGCCTACATGCCAGAAGAGGGAACTGGATCTCATTATAGATGGTTATAAGCCACCATGTGGTTTCTGGAAATTGAACTCAGGACCTCTGGAAGAACAGCCAGTGCTCTTAACCACTGAGCTATCTCTCCAGCCCCACATTTAGTGATTGATGTGGATGGTCCAGACTAGTGTAGGTAGTGCCACCCCTGGGCAGTTGGTGCTGAGGTGTATAAGAAAGCAGACTGAGCAAGCCACGGGAAGCAAACTAGTAAGCAGTGTTCCTCCATGGCCTCTGCACCAGTTCCTGACTCCAGGTTCCTGCCTTGAGTTCCTGCTCTGACTTCCCTCAGTGAAGGATTGTGATCTAGAATTTGTAAGCCAAAATAAATCCTTTTCTCCCCAAGTTGCTTTTAGTTTAATCACAGAAATGGAAACCCTAAGTAAGACAATAATATTCCAGTGTGTTTGTGTGTGTGTGTGTGTGTGTGTGTGTGTGTGTGTGTGTGTCTGTTGTGAAACATTAGTTTAAGATGTGTTACATTTGTTTATGCTATGGAATATTTAATGATGCAGAGATGTGTAGCATTCTTTTTGTTGCATTTGTTTGATTTTGTAAAGCTCTGTTATTTTGCTTGTCTGGAACACCTGATTGGTCTAATAAAGAGCTGAACAACCAATAGCTAGGCAGGAGAGAGAGAGATAGGTGAGGCTGCCAGGCAGAAAGAATAAATAGGAGGAGAAATCTAGGCTCAGGAGAAGAGGGTGGAGCAAGAAAAGGAGAAGGAAAAGAGGACACCACCCAGTCACACAGCCAGCCATGGAGTAAGAACCAAAAAAAGATATATAGAATAAAGAAAGGTAAAAAGCCCAGAGGCAAAACATAGTTAAAGAGAAACAGGATAAGCCGGGCGGTGGTGGCGCACGCCTTTAATCCCAGCACTCGGGAGGCAGAGCCAGGCGGATCTCTGTGAGTTCGAGGCCAGCCTGGGCTACCAAGTGAGTCCCAGGAAAGGCGCAAAGCTACACAGAGAAACCCTGTCTCGAAAAACCAAAAAAAAAAAAAAAAAAGAGAAACAGGATAATTTTTGTTAGAAAAACTGGCTAGAAACAAGCCACACTAAGGTTGGGCATTCATATGTAAAAATAAATCTCCATGTATTTATTTGGGAGCTGGCCCCCAAAAGAATAAAAAATCAACTACATTTTGATCTTCCAACATGGGGCCCAAATTTCCATGTAGGACTTGAGAAAGCTGAAAAGAGAAAAAAAAAAAGGATACAGCTCCTTTAAAATTCTGCTGTACAGCAGAGCACTTAAACAGCCTTTTTCACACTAACTAGAAACAAGAAAACTAAGTAAAATATGCCTGCCGCAGTGGAGGGCACTGGCACTCCAGATCTAGCGGGTTACATGCAGTTCTTGGTCACTTAGCTCTGACTAGGTCTGTGAACTTTAGGCTTGCCTTTCAAGAACCAGAGAAGTGGGTGGAGCCAGCCAACCTCACACCCACTAGTGATGTTCTTGTTTCTTCCAGACTCATCTACAGAGTTTGGTCAGTGCAGGAAGTGAGAAATCGTATCTCAATGTCAGTTTTCATTTCTTCTACTGTGAGTGAGTTGGAGAACCTCTTTGTGTCTTTAAAGGAAAGAAGGAATGGAAGGGAGGAAAAAAGGAAGGAAGATGTGTTGCTAGGTCAGGATTCCCTTGATGGAAGAATGCTTTTCTAAATTGCAGAGAGCTCTGGAATCTGTCCCCCATACTGGAAAAAAAAATTGCCTTGATTTTCTGTGAGCTGTAACTTTCTTTTTTAATTTGTTCTTGTTAATATTCTTTGTAACATACCAAATGTTTTCCCCAGTTTGTCTGTTTACTGTGTGTGCTTTTTAATAGTACCAATGTCATTCAAATAATTCTGTTGTTATTCTTTCATAGTTGAACCCACCATCATTTTTATTGCTTCTGCATTGCAAATCACGATACTACTTTTTTTTCTTTTTCTTTTTTTGGTTTTTCAAGACAGGGTTTCTCTGTGTAGCTCTGCGCCTTTCCTGGATCTTGCTCTGTAGACCAGGCTGGCCTTGAACTCACAGAGATCCACCTGCCTCTGCCTCCCGAGTGCTGGGATTAAAGGCGTGCACCACCACTGTCCAGCTTTCTTTTTGTTTCTTGAGGCAGGGATTCTCTGTGTAGCCTTGGCTGTCCTGAAACATAATATTTTCTGAGCTAGGCTTTGGTGGCTTCTCCAGTGTGACACAGCAATTGTTGGACTACTGAGTCTGCATCCTGTAAGCCCAATAATATATGCATTCTTATCAGTTCTGTTCCTTTAGAGAACCCTGACTGATACAGTAGAAATACAGAATATGATGAGGTCTATGAAGGAGAATTCAGCAACATCTAACAGAATCTCAGATGTGTTTATTCTTTAACTCAGCAATACTGTTCTGAGGTCTACTTCCTATGGTGTGTGTGTGTGGTATGTGTGTGTGCGTGTGTGTGTGTGTGTGTGTGTGTGTGTGTGTTCACATACACAGTCAAAATGACATATTAAGTTATTATTTACTACAACGTTTATAAGAATAAGATATTGGTGACAACCTAACATCCATCAATAGAGTAATGGTTGACTGACATATGAAAGTGCCACATGACAGAGACTCAAAGGGAAACGTGGAATATATATGTGCACATGAGATGTTAAAAGCAACACTGTAGATGAAACAAATTTGACACAAATTATTGAGCAAAGAGCGGCTGGCGGAGAAATGGTTCAGAGAGCCCAGTGCAGTAGTGTGAACAGTGAGCTTCTGTTTATCTGACTACACAGCTAGATGGTTGGGTGCCTTGGGGGTGGTCTGATGGGAGGTTCATAGCTGTGTAACCAATCAGCTAGCTGGGTATTTGTGATTGGGCGAGACCCCACCCCTGCTAAGTCAGTTCCTAGAAATGCCTCCTTGTTTTGGTGTCCTTCCAAGAGAGATCCAGGTCTTAAAACCATCCCAGGCTGACCTCCTCTCTGTGTGGAATTAGTGGGAGTGTTAGCCGATGTATTTCCATAGAAGAAACTTTCACCCACAAGATTTATGTATGATATAGCATACAGAGGGAAAAAGAAGCCAGGTGTGTTAGCACATTCCTTTAATCCCAGCATTCAGGAGGGAGAGGTAGGGAGATCTCTGAGTTCAAGGCCAGCCTGGTTACACAGGACAGCCAAGGTTACACAGAGAAACCCTGTCTCAAAAAGCAAAGCAAAGAAAAGAAAAGCAAAACAAAAACAAAGACAGAAGGAAAGAGAACATGGATGCACACATGTGCATACAGAAATGTTTTCTCACATTTTCAAAAGCCAACAAGAAAGATAGGCCAGAGGAAGGACCAGAAGAAGGAAATAAGACATTTCTGAATGTGTCTTGCTAAAAAGCTTTAACTTTGGAATTGCTTAAATATTTTATACATTCAAAAATTTCAGAGTAAGTCAAAAGGGAGAGAAGAAAGCATCGCCTAACAACTGAAAAGAAGTCGAAACAAGTACTAAATTATGTATCAAGTTGATGGTGTACTGTTAAGATGAAAGATTTTACTTCAAGTTACTTTCAGATCCAGCCTTTAGAGTGCCCATCATTAGTGGAATGCATTCCAGGGCCAGAAGAGAACCCCAAAGAAAATGTAAACTTCCTCCAGCAGTCTTTTTATTAGTAGCAAAGCTGATGTTTGTGGTCACTGTGTGCATAGAGCAGGTTCACAATCATTTCAGCAATTAAAATTATAGTTAGAAATCAAGAATTTAGTGTCAGCTAGGTGGTGGTGGCACATGCCTTTAATCCCAGCACTTGGGAAGCAGAGGCAAATGGATCTCTGTGAATCTGAGGCCAGCCTGGTCTGCACAGTGAGTTCCAGGATAGCCAGGGCTACACAAAGAAATACTGTCTCAAAAAGAAGGAGGAGGAGAAGGAGAAGAAGAGGGATTATTTGGTGTCATGGAAAAGCCATACAAATGTAGCATGTTGAATGACATAGTCAGATCTCAGGTCAGATGTTAGGTTTGAAGAGGAAATGTTATCATGAAGTTTTGAGGCCTTTCGTTATTTGAAAACTAGTCGGTCTGTAGAAGTAATAAGGACTCGATGTCGGTAAATATAATATCCTCCGCCCAAGCAGACCAGAGCACCTAGAGAGATGGTGTAGGCTAGATTGAAGACAGGATGCTTTGAGGTTTTTGGGGGCTGCTTCTTGTATCAAAAAGCCAGGGTGTTGAAGCTGGAAAAATGGCTCAGTGATTAAGAGCACTTGCTGCTTTCCCGGATTCCGTTACCAGCACCCCCAAGGCAGCTTACATCTGTCTGTAACTCCAGTTCTGGGAGAATCCAATACCCACTCTGGCCTCTGTGGGCTCTGTATACACATAGTGTACTTAACATACATTCTGATACAAATACACATAAAATAAAAATAAATAAATCTTTTTAAAAAGTCAGGTTAAAACCAAAAAGACCAAAGGAATGGTACCAGAAGTCCAAACTGTGGGGCTCCCATTGGCCCAAGACGAAATAGTCTGAACATTAAACATGACTAAAACTGGTCAGGGTGGCACATGCCTGTAACACTAGCATTCAAGAGGTAGAGGCAGGAGGTTCAGAAGCTCAAGACCGTTTTAGGCTATAGAGCAAGTTCAAGGCCAACCTAGGTTACTTGAGATTCCCCCACCTCTCTCTCAAAAAGGGGGGAGGGGCCTGAAGAGACGGCTTAATGGTTCAGAGCACTTGCTGCTCTTGCAGAAGACCCAGATTTCATTCCCAGTACCCACATGGGGTCTCACTTATATTTGTATTCCCCAGGCTCCTATGTCCTCTTCTGGCCTCCATGGCCAGAATGGATTTATAATAATCTTACATTATAATGAAATGTAAGAAATAAGAGGAAAAAAGTAGCAGTTCAAAAAATATATTAATCATATCAACTAAAGGTAGCCAGAACACCAAATCCTGACTTGATAGTTAAAGGGAATGAATGAAAGGGGACCCCTCTGGTTCCGTGTGAACTGCATTTACCATTGCTAAATATCCCCATTGATAAGGGAAAACCTGACATCACAGGAGAACCCCAGCTGACAGAAGCAGTAAGAAAAAGAAAATCATTTCCTGTGGGCAGGGAAGGCCTGGCAGTGGGCAGGCAAGGCCTGGCAGTGGGCAGGGAAGGCCTGGTGACAGGAGTTGACAGCTGGTTGATTGGTTGCATTTGAACTCAGGAAGCAGAACGTGGCCAGGAGGCAGAGGTGGGCTGTAAAGCCTCAAGACCCACTAAGGCTCCTCCTGGTAGAGATTCCACGGTCTTCCCAAACAGCACTACAACTGGGGACCAAGTATTCAGATACATGAGTGGGGGGAGGCGGGGTGCAGTCAAATTACAACATAATGTCCTTCATTGTCAACTTGGTCCCCAACATGGCACTGTTGGGAAACTTATGTGTCATGTGGACATTATCTTCATAAATAGATGAATGAATTATCACCAGAGTGGATTTGTCACGCAGTCAAACTCACTGGCATGCTCCTTCTGTTTCCAAACTTATTGTCCTCCACCTTGTTACAACGCAGCAAGAAGACCTCTCAAGATATTGGCACCATGCCCATGAACTTCCTAGACTCCATGACCATGGACCAAATGAACCTCTACTCTTTTTTAACTACTGAGTCTGAGGTATTCAACGATACTAACAGAAAAACAAAACAAACAAACAAAACCCAGAAATACTAACTTTCCCATACAAAGAGATTCAGGGCCCCTAGAACTCCGTGCCTGTGAACCTTGTCTTCTCTTGGATACGGTGAGAATGAGACATATAGTTAGTTCCTGCATTCAGTAGTCTAATGCCCAGGAGATGTGCACAACATCTTTTATGCCAAAAGAGGCAATTAAATAAGATAAGGTTGATAAAGTTCATAAAGGGGGGTGCATGTACGGGTATACGCATGTACATATGTGTATGAGTGTTCGGTGTAGGTGTAAGCATGCACATCTATGCACATGTGCATGGACGTCAGAAGACAAACCCAGATGTCATTCCTCCGGGGCTTTTTCCTTTTTGTTTGAGACAAGGCTTCTCACTGGCCTGGAACTTTGCCAATCAGGCTAGGCTATCTGGCCAGTGAGCTTCTGGAGTCTGTCTGTCTCTGCTTCCCTTCATGGCTCAGATTATAAACATCCACACTGTGCCCAGCTTTTTACATGGGTTCTGGGAATCAAACTCACGTCCTCACCATTACAAGGCAAGCGCTTTACCTATTGAGTCATTTCCACCGCCCCAGGCTAAGGCTCTTGAGGGGAAGAGTTTAGCTTGGATTATCTGAGTGGGATTTAAGTGCAGGCACCTGTATTCCAGGAAGGGCGATGTGGAGGAAGTTTGGGGACATCTACATGGGGGACAAACACAGGGAACAGGACAGGATCTATTTAAGGCAGATTGGAGGGTGGAGCAAGACAGCCATAGGTGAAGGAACGCCGGCAACAGCAGGACTCTCTCAGAGACAAGAGTCTCCCCTGGGCCTCCCACAGGACAGCAGCCCTGCCGACATCTTGAATTCAGACCTGTGGCCTCTGGAGCCATAAAAGGACAAAATCCTGTTGTTTCGGGTTTTCCAATGGCCTTTTTTGTTGCACTAGCCATAGGAAATTAATATGGGAATTCACAGCCCAGCTGGGGAAAGGCCATTACGTGAGTCAGCACACAGAAAGTCACAAGTGCACAGTAGCGACAGTAGCCGTGAAGAAGCAGAGTGTGTTGATGCCTCGGGACCTTATCTGGAGGCGACAGTGGAGAGGACTTTGAGGAAGTGGCGCTGAGAGGCAGCAGAGCCAGAGGCTAAGAGCTGAGGCACCTGGTTCAGATCTCATCAGGTCAAGCAGACAGGAGCTCTGAGGCCTGCAACCTATAGACTTACATTGTGCAGGATACAGCCACAAACACTGTCTACTTGCTCTGGGTGCGGTCTTCTGAGCTGGACTGTGACAGTATTTCTTCTTCACCAACAGGAAATGCCCTGTGCAGAAGTGGCACCCGAGTCTGCCCATACCGGACTCCATGCTCTCTCTACTCACTCTCCCGTTAGCAGGATCCATTGGGAGCCTCCTAAGGGTAGGCTCCTGGCACCAGACAACGACAGGAGTCCGAGGACAGGAGGGACCAAACAGGAGGCAAGGAAGGCAGCCAGGAAGTTCTTGGTTTTTCAGAGCCACCTCTGCAGATGATTGCTGTGTTAACTGTCTAGGTATCTTGATTGACTTTGTTTTTTTTCGGCCAATGAAGGTGTTAAAAGACAGGAAGAACCTTAGGCACCAAAGGCAACAAACTATTAAAATCAGGAAGCACACACAGAGATGGACAGACTCCCCACAAGTGGACAAGGGATTTAGAAACCTAAAGCCAAGGGCCTGGGTCTTTAAGTGCCTTTTGGTATAAGGCAGGTCTCCCCCTCTTAATTTGGATTGGGCAACTTAGACAAAGAAAAGGGATCTGGTACGTCTGCAGTTTTATGTGAGCTAAGACTCTCCTGGGCTGACCTTGGGCACGTTGTGGCCCATCAGGAGGAAGGGGGTCCCTGCCAATGCCACTTGGTTTTGAGTGAAGAAGAAGCTAGAAGGTGGCCAAGTTGTTTACCCTTGGTCTCTTCCCTGTCTGTCTGCCTGTCAGGGTGCTTATCTACATTCAGCAGTATGTTCCATGGCCCGGGGCAGTCAACAAACACTTTTACAAGTTAGTCTGCTCGGGGCTTTGTGAATGAAGAATGCCACCATCCCTAAGAAACTTGCCCTGTTAGCCACAGACCCAAAGGACAGCAGATTCTACACACTTTATCAGAATAATGCCATTCCATTCTTAACATCTTTGACATAGGACCTTACTGACAGGAGACACTCAGGCAGTATCTATTGAGTGCTTGAATAGATGTTGGGATTTTATTTACATCAGAATGCTTCATAGTGTGAATCGTACATTCAAACTAAGCTTTGAGCAGGGAATACGTTTTAAGGTTAGTAGTCATGACAAATATAGAAGTTGGCAGTTTGGTCTGCCCTGAATTCTACTGCCCATTCCAGGGTTGGCTACGCCTATTGTTCTAGGCCATATATCTTTCAACATGGATTCCTCCATCATTAACAATAAATTGGAATGACAGTCCGGTAAAGCCTAGTTAACATCTGTCTGTCACAAAGGAAATGCAATGCCTGCCAGCCCATTGTTTGGAAGCATCAGGTGAATGGCTCAAGGTCAGAGGTGAGGAGGTTAGGGTTGCTCTCCATCTGGGATGGGCTAGGCAGGAGTGGGGAGCTTCCTCCCTCGAGGTGGGTTACTCACAGGGGTGTTGATTTCCTGGGGCATCTGGGACAGATGGCAACAGATTGGATGGGTGGAAATAACAGGAGCTTTTTCTCTCCCATTTCCGGAGGATTTGCACCTGTAATCAGGAGTGGGCAGAACAAGGGCTCTAGGGACATGGTCCAGCCTCCTCTAGCTCCTGGTGGCTCCAGGCAAGAGTTAGCTTGTGGCAGCTCTCATCCTTTCCTGGCATGCGATATCTTTCTCAAGCACTATTCTCTTTGTATTTCGAAACAAGGAAGCCTGTTCAGCCTGGAGCCAACAAGCCCCAGGAATCCCCTAGTTTTCGCCCGCTCCTCCCTCTCCCCACAGTGCTGGCACTACAGGTGCTCACTACTATGCCTGACTTTGTCTGTTTGTTTTGTTTAATTTCATACATGAGTACCGTATTTACATCATTTCTGCCCCCTCTCCAAATTATTCCGTGCCCCACTCTGTTCCCTTTTAAATTCATGACCTTGTCTTCTATAATGATTATTGTTACATTTATACACATAACCTAGGGAGTCCATTGAGTGTTATTTGTGTGTACTGTACTATTTAGTATATGCAAACCTAGAGAGTCCATTTAGTGTTGTTTGTGTGTATAATTTAGGGTTGACCACTTAGGATTAGACAACCTATCAGAGGACTTATCCCTGGAAGAAAATCTATCTGTGAGAATATGGATCAATGCTCAGAACACAGTTAAAGGCTGTATTGATTTAGGAAAATGGCATTAGTATTTTCTCCTTTAGTGCCTATGACCTCTGCAGTCATGGGTAATCAGTCAGGTTTACAGTACCAGGCATGAATTTGCTCCCATTGAGCAGGTCTTACGTTCAGTTACACAGCTGTGTGTTACACCCAGAACGTAAGAACATTACTGCACCACTGGATCTATCTTGCTAGGCCAGTCGTTACTGGGGTTTGTAGGTTTTGCAGCTGGATGGGACTACTGTTTGCTCTCCCTTGGCAGCTTACATGGCACTTTCTGATTTCCTGAGAGCTAGTCCTCAGAAAGGAGGCTTCCAGGTCAGTTCCAGCTTGATTCCTCCATGTCCTGTGTCTGTAATGTGTGGTGTCTTTAACAATAGGGTCTTTTTAAGTGAAAAGAGACAACCAAGAGCAATGTCATTATCCCGTATTGTTTTGGGAGTCTCTTGAATCACCTTGACTAACAATTGAAAGGAAGGTTTCCCATGCCTGGCACACATGTGCACACACCACCACACACACACACACACACACACACACACACACACACACACACACACACCAAGCATGTGGGTACACACCACACAAATTCACACACACACTCACAACCCCTTCAAAACCAAAAAAAATCTCTCCCATTTTTTGATAAATTATACTTTAAAAGCAAATACAGTCCTTCAATTTCACTAAGCTGCAATTATATTAAATTACCAGCTCCAAATAAACTTTTATGGAATGTAGCTGAGACATTTCTAACATTTTGAAAAGAAATAATAAGCATGTTTTAAATAATTTTAGATAATTTCATATAGAAATGAAGTCAAACAGATATTTATATGAAGGGAAATGGAGAGGGGAAAGAGTCATTATGAAGTTATTGGCTGTGGAAATCCAATTAATTCAGATCTTAGGAGCAAGCTTACAAGAAAGATGCTGAATATGTAAATATTAAAAAAAAACTGGGTGGCAGTTGTTGGAGAGATGGCCCAGCAGTTAGGAAGGAGCACGCTTTGCTCTTACAGAGGACCTGAGCTCAGTTCCTGAAGCCGATGTTGGGTGACTCACAACCACCTGTAACTCCACCTCCAGGGAATCTGACACTCTTTTCTGGTTTCTGTAGGCACCAGAACACATGTACACAGACATGCACATACTTAAAAATAAAATCTAAAATAGTTGATAAATAAACTCACTTTTATTTCTCTGTGGAGAACAAAATTCTGTTCTCTGGTAAAAATAAAACTTCTTTAATTATGGGTGTGTTGTGGAATATCCCTTTGCACTGTATGAAGATGTGTTACTCTGATTGGTTCAATAAAGAGCTGAATGGCCATTAGCTATAGCGAGATATCCACAGAGTCTGCTTAATGGGCAAACCAATTTATTCAGAACAGCTAACCACTACAATTGTCTAGGCAGGAAGAGGTTGGGCAGGACTTCCGGGGACAGAGAGAGCTCTGGGAAGAAGAAAGGCAGAGTTGCCAGCTAGACACAGAGTGAGCAAGATGGGCAAAATGGAGATGAGGTAATGAGCGTGTGGAAGAATGTACATTAAAAAATATGGGCTAATTTAAGTTATAAGAGCTAATTAGAAACAAGCCTAAGCTAAGGCTGAACCTTCATTATTAATAAGTCTCCGTGTTGTTTGTTATGAGCTGGCCGCCCAAAGAAAAGTCCATCTACATGGATGTCATCTTTAGATTCAAAAATTTAGAAACAGCCTAGATACCAACCAATGGGGAAAAATAATCATGAATGATGGTATAGCCATGACCTAATCCTCTACACCAGCCACCAGACTGCATCTGGGCAATGTGCCTAAGCAAAGATGAGGCTCACAGACAGAATGTGGCTAGAGCAAGCAAGTTCCAAAGAAAGATTCCATGTCCAGGGAGTGAAACCCTGGGCCTGACATGTTCTGCAGGGGTTCTCTCTACCACTGAGCTGTCTCCCAGCCATAGTATTATACCTTGCTTGTGGATACATAAATGTGGAGTAGGAATAGTAGAGAATATGCATGGCTCAAGGTGGTATGCATCCAACTTAGGGGAATGGTCCCTCTGGGGCAGGAGGCAGCTTTGCTGCCAGAAGGTGCCCAGAAAGAATACAAACGAGTTTTTATTTCTGAAAGATAACTACATAGAATACGTGACAATTTGCTTTGAGATGCATGATAGGAGTAACAGAGCTTTAAGTAGTTTGTGATCGAAACACAGGTTTCCTGTTTTTCCATTGGCCCAAGGAATTATGCTTGACTGTGGAGCTAATGGGGAGACCATTGATCTTAAACAAACATGGAGCTAGAGATGTGCCGCCATTGGTAGAGTACTTTCTTAGAATGAAAACCATCCCTGAGTTTGATCCCCAGCAGACATGGTGGCACACAGCTGAGTCCAGTACTTAAGAGGCTGTGGTCATCTTTAGCTACATACAGAGTTTGATACCAGGCTGGGATCCTGTCTTTAAAATGCATACAGGCACACATATGTCCAGGTACAAATAAGTAAATAAATAAATGATAAATGACTAAAGTGATGGTTCAGTGGTTAAGAGCACTTTCTGCTCTCGCGGAGGACCTGAGCTTGGTTCTCAACACTCCAAGTTGGGCTACTCATAACTGACTGTTAACACTAGTTACAGGAGATTTAATACCCTCTTCTGCCTTCCACAGACATTTGTACTCATGTGCACATACACACAAATAAAAATAAAATCTTTAGCCGGGCGGTGGTGGCGCACGCCTTTAATCCCAGCACTTGGGAGGCAGAGCCAGGTGGATCTCTGTGAGTTCGAGGCCAGCCTGGGCTACCAAGTGAGTCCCAGGAAAGGCGCAAAGCTACACAGAGAAACCCTGTCTCAAAAAACCAAAAAAAATAAAAAATAAAAAATAAAAGAAAAATAAAATAAAATCTTTAAAGAGTCCAAGGAAGCAGAATGTGGTGGTACACACTTTTAATCCCAGTACTTGGGAGGCAGAGGCAGATGGATCTCTGTGAGTTGGAGGTCAGCCTGGCTTATCTAGACAGTTCTAGGACAGCTGGGGATACACAGAGAGACCCTGCCTCAAAAAACCCAAATTTTAAATCAATAAAATAAAAAAAGTCTAAGTACACAAAAATAGCAGTTTCCTTCAATATTGGAAGTGTGAGAACCTGGCACCTAGATCTAGAACCACACAGCTTTTAGTCCAATATGTTGTATGAGTGCATGTGATATAGGTACCATGGTCTCATATAGGACTCCCTTCCCCCAGTTATTTTATAACCATTGAAGCATTTTTGGAATGTGGTGGTGGTATGTTCAGAGAGATATCCTAGGAAGGTATCACTGATACAGAGCAGTTCAGACTGGAAGGGGGATGGGGACATTGAACTTCACAGTTATGATGAGCATCTATTGAAGACCTGACCAGGAAGAGGGGTGGTGGATTTGTAAAGGGTGAGAGGACTGTCTACCAGCTAAGGGCTATCCACTGCTTCAGAGCTGAAGGTATAGCTAGGAACTGAACAGACACCTGCTCAGCTGGAGAGTGCTCAAGTAGATGAACTCCGAAAGTGAACCTTAAATCTGTTGATGAGGACAGAAGTCAAGACAGGAGCTTGTGGAGCAGGAAAGCAGAGAGTCAAGGGGAAACTGATCCAGGGTCTCAGTATAAAGCCCAGGCTGGCCTCAAACTCATGTTCCTCCTGCCTCAGTTTTCTGAGTTTGGGAAGTACAGGCATGTACCGCCATGAACAGCCAAACAAGGCACTAATAACAGCAACAACTGTGAGCTTCATCACTACCACCACCCCAGATGTCCGGGATGGAGGAGTAGATGAAGTCATTTCCTTAAGCATCCCACACCCTTTGTAGACTGTAGATCTGCTTTCGAGCACTCCCCTGGGAGTGTTTATAATGGAAGATGAATGTGCACTGGAAACAGGAGGGCCCACTTTCCCTTCAGGGGTGTAAGACTAGGAGGTGTGGGTAGTCTTCCATGAGACAAGAGAAGGTTTCTGCAGTCTCAAATTACAAATGAACCCCAGAGGTTAAATGGCCTGCCCAAGGGGTTGCATCTATAAAAAAAAAAAAAAAAAAAAAAAAAAAAAAAAAAAGGCAATGGATGGACCAAAATTTCAGTCTTCTCCAGGGAGCCAGACACCCAGGATTCCTGATGTCCCACAAATTCAACAGCCCTGACTGAGTAACACCCAAGGACAGGTCAAGCATTCCAAACTTTGAAAACTGAAATGCTAAAAAAATGTTTCGAGTTGACAGGATGCTCAGTTCAAGATTTTGGAGTGCCATAGATCTTTGAGTTTTAGATAGGGGATGTTCAACTGGGGGACTATGAAAATATTCCATGTTCTAATGTCTGGAGCCAGGCATACTGCCTCTAATCTCAGAACTGGCGATGCTGAGGTAGGAGGATTGTGAGTTCAAGGGCAACCTAGATTATGAAACAAGAATCTATCTCAAGGGGCTGGAGAGATGGCTCAGCAGTTAAGAGACCTGGCTGCTCTTCCAGAGGACCTGCGTTCAATCCCCAACACCAATGTGACAGCTCACAGCCATCTGAAACTCCAGTTCTAGGGGATCTCATGCCCTCTTCTGGCTTCCAGAGGCAGCAGGCAATAAATAGTAGTGCAGATACACATATACATACATACACAAATAATATAGCAACAACTTTTAGAATGTAAGTATATCTCAAAACATACCGCCCAAAAGTCTGAATACTTATGGTCCTAGGCATTTCAGATACAAGGGATATCCAATCTGTATTTCTTTTATTGATTTACACTTTTATTTTTGTGTGCATATGTGAGTATGAGTGGCTGTGGGAGGAATCAGTTCTTCATTGTGGATTTCAGGGATCAAACTCATGTCCTCAGGCTTCTGCAGACTGTGCCTTTACCCACTGAGCCCTCTCACCAGCCCCAATCTTCACTTATTTTCAAAGAGGCAGAAGGTAGCCACTGCTAACACTCAACCTTTACAAGTGATCACGGGCTTGCAGAAGGCCAACAGTATAGCAGCAGAATCCCAGCACAGTGGTAGGGTGCAGAGGGATGGATGACAGAGAGGAACCCCTGACTGGGGCAGTCTCTATGTAGGGGGAACGAATGAGAAGTGGGTTGGATGGAGGCGCTGCTGCCCAGGTCTGTGGACCCTTCCCTTCTATCATGTGGGGGCCCAGAGACCCCAGCTTGTAGCCTGTTTTCATCTTGACTCAGGGTCAGAGATTCCGAGCTTGTTTTCCCCTGCAAGGCTGCATAATGGGATGTTTTGACCAAAGGCATGGTTACCAGGTGCCTTATACTTCAAGGCCTATTTACAGGATGCTTTGCTGTAAGGCATGGTCACCAAATGTCTAAGGAGGTGTTTACACTTGACTGTATTTTGTACCTTGAATCACAATATCCTTGAAAGGGGGGGGGTCTTTTTGCCCCCTTGCTTTGGGTATATAAAGGCTGTGAGTAATAAACTCAGGGTCTGTGGTATTGACCCAGAAACCTCCCGAAGCTATCCTGTGTCTGTCTCTATCTACATCTATATTTCATACCTATCATTTCCCAATTCCACATTCCCCACTTCAGAACCATTCAACAGGTTGAGTGGGACTCGACACTGTCACTTCCTGTTCTTGGACAGCTGAGCTCTGGATCCAAAGTCAGTTTTCTAGGGAGGCCTTGAGTGTCAAGGGTGAGATAAAATGGCTCCATCACATGGTTTCTTCTCACAGTGCAGAGAAATGAAGGAACAGGCAAGACCCCACTAACCCTTATGGTGATATTTTATTTGTGCTGAAATGTGATTTTATTTGTATGTTAATAAATAAAAAGTGCCTGGGGGTCAGAGCTAATAGCAAGCCATCTAGCAGAAGTCTGGCAGTAGCAGCACACGCCCTTAATCCCGATCACATGGCAGGCAGAGTCTGTGTGTTCAAGGACATAGCCAGCATGGAGACACACACCTTTAATCTCAATACCAACCATAGAGACCTGGAGGTCTGTATAGATAGGCAGTGACGTGGAGGTCGTGTGGTTGGGTTTACAACCAATGAGAAGGCAGAATAGAAAGTCTATAAAAAGACAGATACACAGGAAGTAGGTCTCTTTCTCAGGGGAAGGACGGCAGCGGCAGTGGGTGGTAAGAAGGTGGTCTTGGTCTCAGCTCTTAGCTACTGCTCTCTGACCTCTGGGGCTTTTAACTCTGCATTTGGCTCTGTGTTTCTTATTTAATAAAACTGTTCAGAATTACATCTACAAACCCTGAGGCCAGAGAGAGTAAAAGACCCAAGATGCCACCTAGTTTTCACCCTATTTCTCTCCATGGCCTCGGCCTCTCTACTGTAGCAGAAATATTGGTGAACGCTGTGGTTGTATTTCTTTCCTGGGAATAAACTTCCTGTGACCATGGATACTCTCTCTCCATTAAGTCAACAGGCAGCTGGGTATAAAAGGTATAATCTCAGCCAGATGTGTGACAGTTTGAGGTCTACAAAGCAAGTTCCAGGACAGGTGGGGCTACATGGAGAAAACCCATCTCAAAAATCCAAACCAAAAATAAGTAAATAAATGTTGTAATATTAGCAGAAATTATATCCAGATCGACGAAAGTGTCCAGTCAAAGGTTGGACTCATGTTTGTACCCAATCATATTTTATTTGAAAAGATGTCTACACTGTATTGGGGACCAACACAGGTGATCAAGACTGCACAGCCTTGTCCCAGCAGGCACGGACTCCGGTGTGTAGCTGGGGTTGGACTGCTACTTTTCATAGTGAGGGTGGTGGGATGGAGGTGGGAAGGGAAAAGAGAAGAGAAAGAAGAAATGGGCATTGTTTCTAGTTCCAGTTTGGAGTCTGACTGAGGAGAAGAAAGATGATTCACTCACAGGACTCCTGTAATCTGCTTCTCTTAGCCAGCTGATGGAGTATGCAGCCTGCTGGGCCAGCTGGGTTGGGTCAACACACAGGCACATTGGTTTACTTTTCTCCCCATCCTGTGAAGTCTTCCTAGGCTAGAGGATGTAAGGACTATATAACCACAGTTTTAACAAAGCATCTGGCCAGGTCAGTGTTAAATACTATGCAGGAGAAGAACTCTATACATCCACTAGAAAAGAAGGGCTGAGCTGGATGGCAGAGGCAGGGCGTCCCTGGGGTCTCATTATTTTGATCTTTTCGATTGAACCCATGGAAAGATGTGGTATGTCATGAAGACTGGAAGTATCCTTTATTTTAAAATCAGACATTTACATCCAACCACATAAAAGCAACTAAGATTATACAAAATTATTTTTGCTTTCTCTGTCTTTCCTTGAGGCAGAAGGCAGATGTTAGATACTGGTCAGTTTATTTCCTATACCAAAACACACACAGGAGTCACTTCTGCTTAATCCACAGCAGGACCGTTCTGCTAAACTTCTGGCATCCTATGACATCCAATAGCTTTTTCAACCTCTGGGTTAAGACCTCCACAGTCCAGAAAGAAGCAGCTCATCCGAAGGTTTGAGTCTAAGGAGGTGAGGACATGGCTCCTTAATCTGGGCTTTCCATCACCCAAGAGAAGCGGAGGGGACAGACCTCTGGGACATCAAGTCATTGTGGCGTAGAGATGGTTTAGAGAATTGTAAACAACAAAGTATCCTCCTGGGAGTGAAGCCACAATGGATGCTTCTGAAATGGTCCAACCAGACTCCCTTAAGAGGCCATTCATCATGCCTGAAATTTAAGTTTACACTTGCAACTCAATGACTCAAACACACTTAAACACAGACCCCACTAGGATGGAATGTGTACATATCAACAGGTCAGCAACTGCAAAAAAGCCTGTGCTTCTTTGACGTAACATTGGAGCCAACGACTCCACAGATTCAATAAACATTTCCAGATTCCTCTGCCTCTTAACAGTAGCAGGGAATGACCAGGATGAAGCCATGGTTACAATTGCTAAAGCCAATTGGTGATGCTGTCTTGGTTACAAGTCAGTTTATGTAGTTTCACTCCATTTTCTATACATGCTGTCTTTTGAATCATCTATTATAAAATTTATATTAAAAATGTCTGTTTTCCAAAGGCATATGCTTCAAGGGGCCATGGCTTGTCATCTATCTTTCCTTTGGTACTTCTGACAGTGGAGGAGTCGCCATGGTGGTGGGTGGGGTGGGCATCCCATGGGTCATCTTCCTCCACCAGCAGAAGACGGGGAACAGGGGAAGTTGGAAGCTCTCTTGTTTTCTGATGTGTTGGGAGAACAGCCGGATCTGCTCAGCTCTTTAGGGACTGTGAAAATAAAGAGAATTATTACTTCTTTTACTGTGGTCGGGACTAGTCACTCCCTGTCCCATAGTCCCTGGGCCTACTGTCCTTTTCTGTGGTTTCAGTCCCTGCACCTTTCAGAACCCTGCACCTTTATTTCCCAGCTATTCCCCTCTACACCTGACCCTTCTGTAGGCAGGGTCAGAACTCTAGACATTTCCAAACAAGACTCATTGACAGCTGTATATCAGCGCAGCTCCCAGCCTTAGATGACTCATCCTCTCCCCTCCCCACCCATCATACTTCTCTGTTTTTTCTCTGGCGCTGAGTTGGAACATTGTGAAGGAAGTTTAGCCAGGAGTAAGGCTCTTCCCTCCTAAAGTCAATGCCAGAAAGATATAATGGCCTGACCTATGTGGTGGTAGGGTGTACAGGACAGGTGTGAAGGAGTGATATAAATATAAAAGACCCGCCCCACACACACACACAAGTACAATTCCTCATCAGAACGGGGGCCTGGCACTGTGACAGGTGTTTTTCCCTCAGTGCACCTGCCTTTGATGTCTGGAGAGAGCAAAGAGATTAAGAAGCAAGATCCAACTTGGTTTGGATTTTCTTTCAAGTTTGGATAGTTGGAAATTAAGATGAGAGATCAAATCTGCTCAGACCTCAAAGGAAGTCAGTCTTGGGCTCTAAAGCTAATGCTGACATCTGTCCCTGGGAAATGGCAGAGGCCGCACCTGTGGAGGTCATGGCTTCTGAAGAAGACCTCGTGCAGAGGAGGTTTCTGCGCATGCAGAGGTTTGAGCGGTGAGCAGGACTGCCTACATTCACATACCACATGCGGGTAAGAGGTTACTTACGAGAACCTTCCAGAAATTTTCCTCATAACCACAACGATGATCCCTCCAACGAAGCCGATGGCTAACAGGACACCAACTATGATTCCAACCAGGGTCACGACTGCCAAACCCTCTGAACGAAGGGAAAAGAACCGTGAGTCCCAGGAAGAAACAGATTCAAGCAATAATATGTCCCTGCTGCTCTCAGAAGAGAGTACTCTGAGTCAAGCGCTGAGCCCTTCTTCTCTTCTTGGTGCCAGGGAGCAAACCCAGGCCTTGAGTGTTCTAGTCAGGTACCGTTCCACCAAGCCCCGGCCCCAACTCTGCTCTGATCCCATCTTGTGAATCAAGAGGTTTCTGAATCTCTGAATTTCTACACGTGACGCGCTGGCTTCACTGTTGATGGGCGTGCTTCTTTACAGCTGGTCAATGACAAAAGCCCCAGAGAACTCAGACTAGAAGGAACTTATCTCAACATAACAAAGGCTCTGTATGACAAACCTACACCAACGTTATTTAAGTGGGAAAACCTCAAATTATTTCCATACCAATGAAGAACAAGGATGCCAGCTTGTCATTAAGTAAATACACTCTGTGTGTGTGTGTGTGTGCATGTGTGTATGTGTGTGTGTGTGTGTGTGAGAGAGAGAGAGAGAGAGAGAGAGAAAGAGAGAGAGAGAGAGAGGGAGGGAGAAAGACTGTGTGTGTGTGTGTGTGTGTGTGTGTGTGTGTGTGTGAGAGAGAGAGAGAGAGAGAGACAGAGACAGAGACAGAGACAGAGAGACAGAGGCTGTGTGTGTGTGAGAGACTGTGTGTATGTGTGTGTGTGTGTGTGTGTGTGTGTGTGTGTGTGAGAGAGAGAGAGAGAGAGAGAGAGAGCAAGAGGGAGAGAGAGAGAGGTTGTGTGTGTGAGAGAGAGACTGTGTGTATGTGTGTGTGTGTGTGTGTGTGTGTGTGTGTGTGTGTGTGTGTGTGTGAGAGAGAGAGAGAGAGAGAGAGAGAGAGAGAGAGAGAGAGAGAGAGAGAATATGATTTATGTAGTACCAGGGTCCCATAAGATACAAGTGCTTTACAACTGAACTATGCCCCTAGCCCTATTGCCTTTCAAATCTATGGAATTTCCTTTTCTCTCTCTCTTTTTTTTTTTTTTTTTGGTTTTTCGAGACAGGGTTTCTCTGTGTAGCTTTGCGCCTTTCCTGGAACTCACTTGGTAGCCCAGGCTGGCCTCGAACTCACAGAGATCCACCTGGCTCTGCCTCCCGAGTGCTGGGATTAAAGGCATGCGCCACCACCGCCCGGCCTTTTCTCTATTAATAATTAGAAAATTGAAGTTGCTGAGCCTGGCACAGCAGTCCTACAGTCCCCACTGTAAGGATTATGTCCAACACCCACTAGCTGTAAAGATGAGGCAGGGGGATTACAGCCCCTGGGCTACAGAGTTGCCAGCCTGGGCGAGCTTAGTGATAGTCTCTCTCAAAGCAAAAAAGTTCAAAGCGGGCTGGGACTGCTACTTAGTGGTGGAGCATTAGCTTAGCATGCATAAGGTGCTGGGTTCAATTCCCAGTACTTCAAAAAGCAAGGAGGGGAGGGAGGAAGCGCGTCGTCTCTCTTTTGGAAGATGGTCCGTTCTGTTCTTGTTTGACTGAGATCCAAGAAAGAATGGAATTCCTCTCAAAAAATTAGGTTCAAAGAAACCTTTTTTTTATCTCCCAAAGGAAGACCAAAATCTCATTTACCTTTCTTATCTGTTGTCTGTGTTTCATCAGCTGTGTTATCTGGAAAGGGAAAAATGCAACGATAGAAAATTATTAGGATTTAATGACTATAATTTGACAGTTGGCAGATGAATTTACCTTAAGTGGAATGTAACAAAACATATGCAAAGAGGGTAATTTCCTCCACAAACCTGCTAGAAGGTTTGGAAGCCAGCTCTGACAGATTGCTGTCTTTGTAACTATTATCAACAATTTTCAACTGTTACTTCCCACCTACAGGTTCTCTGCACTTTTGTACCCATTGGATTTTATCTTATCTGAGTTTAAGAGTCAAGGCCACTGAGCCACAGAGCTGTGAAATAAAAGGTTGGGAACTTTGGGACATTGAGTGAGCAAAAGAATGCAGGTGTGGCTACTGCACCTTTCATCAAGATCCTGAAAAACATAGAAGTGGTGAAGAAGGTCATCTAAGCATTTCTAGAGCGGATTTCTAATTTGGGAAGAGGTGGCCCAGGCTGTGAGGCATCTCCTGCTATCTATTCCTCCGTTCTTCTTTGGTGGTCAGATCTGTACTTCATGGGGCAGCAGCCTGCCCTGCTAGACTGAATGAAAACTGGTCCTTTGTCACTTCCACCCCTGTTCCTTGAGGGTTTCATCAGCATTCTAGTCCAGCATGATAGCCACAATACACGCACTCTCCACCTGAGTTCTTTGTGGAGAGTTTCCCACGACTCCTATTTTAGAATAGAGGTTCTTTACTTAGTTTCTCCCATTTTCCATTTTACACACAGAGTTCTTAGTTCTAGCGTTGAGGGTGGCTATTGCCTCGGCTGTAGATGATACCCATGATCCATTGAGGAACTGGAGGGAAGGGAAGATCAGACATTCCCCTAGAACCTTAGCTCACAGCTTTCAAAAATAACCTGTGGGTCGCGACTCCTTTGAGGTTGCATATCAGATATTTACATTACAATTTATAACAGTAGCAAAAGTACAGTTATGAAGTAGCAATGACATAATTTAATGGGTGGAGGTCACCACAACATGCAGAACTGTATTAAAGGGACGCAGCATTAGGAAGGTTGAGAACCACTGCTCTAGAGAGTCAATAGTTTTCAAAAGTAAAACTGGCTGTGATGTGATATGTACTGGGGGAGGGAGGTTTTCATTCATAGTTCTTGGCTCATAACACCCTCCCTGAAGCAAGCCATATACACTAGAATTCTTCTCCAAGGCAGACTATAGAATCTTTACTCACGGACTAAGGATACAGTGCAGCGAAAGAGTGCTAACTTAACATCCTTTCATGCCAAGTGCATCTCAGACTTGATCTCCAGCACTTTGCATGTGAGAAAAAAGTCCTAAGGAAATGTAGTGGATGTGAAACGTCCCCAATAGGCTGATGAGTCTGACGCCCCATTCCCCACCCCCGCCCCGCCATTGGTGGTATTGTTAGGGAAGTTGTGAAATCTTTAGGGGGCAATGCTTTGCTGGAGGAAGTTGGTCACCAAGGGCAGGCTTGAGATTTAGAGCCCAGCTTCAGTTCCAGTCTACACTTTGTCTCCTGTCTGCAGATGCAATGTGACTAGCATCCTACCCCTCCTGTCTCCATGCCTCGCCTGCGACGATGGGCCATATTCCTTTGACCTGTAAACCAGAAAAACCCTTTCTCCCTGAGGCTGCTTCTTGTCAGATAGTTCGAGCCAGCAATGAGGAAAGTAATTCATCCAAACTCTAATCTTCCCCCACAGTTTTCCTATCTTGGAACAGACCACAAAGAAATTCTCTCTCCTTTTGTAAGTTTTGTTTGGTTTGGTTTGGTTTGGTTTTTTGAGACAAGGTTTCTCTGTGTGACAGTCCTGGCTGTCCTGGAACTCACTTTTGTAGACCAGGCGGGCCTCAAACTCACAGAGATCTGTAGGTTATAGATATGATAGGATAAAAGGGTAGATTATTGAATCTACTTTCAAAAAGCAACAACTCGTTTGAAATATTTTACATTGCTATGGATTTTAATTTATTGATACAAATTTAGGATTAATTTTGTTATACTGTATGTATATTTCTACTCTTGTTTAAGGTACTATGTTTATACAACTCATTTAAAATTGTAAAATATAATTAAGAAATACAGATTAATAGTCATCTATGATAATCAAACTTATACTCATGTTAGTTTTTTAGGTATACAAAGGTGTATTTCAATTAGGTAGGTAATCTTCAAACACTTCAAAGACCTACAGAATATGATATTTAAAACATTTTAAGAACTTATACTTTTCTGGACAGTGAGACACGTCTGCTTCTGGCAGCACCAATTACTTCAAAGAGGATGATGGGCATTGAAGAAATGCATTATGGAGTTTGCTTTCTTTATGGCAAAAGTTAGCCACTGTGCAAAAAAAAAAAAATGCCCTTGACTCAACTGCTTGACAGGATGCTGTATAAACTGGACATGCAGGACCCATAGGAAGGTGATCACTGAACTTTGCAAGATGAGATGGTCTTTCAGGTTCCTGCTTCAAAGAAGAAACTGCCAGATACTCTACAAGACATGAACTTAGCCAGAATGAGCAGAACAGTCCTTAAAATTTCCTGCTTCACTGAAAGCTATGTCAGAGACTCTAGACCTATGGGCTGAAGATAGATGCCCCAATGTCACAGAGGAAATTTGGATGACTATCCAGGCAGACAGATGTCTCTGTCATTTCTAGAATTATGGAGGTTGTTTGCCATATACTTCCTGTCTACTCAGATAATATTATATTCTTCTGGGGTCTTTGATGGAGTTGAAGACTAGATAGTTTTAATTATAGCTTTCCTTAGTCGTGATAAAAGAGAAATTAGATATAAAACTTTAGACTCACAAAACTAGGATAGATGATAAAATATTTTCTTTAATTTTGCCAAATACAAATGGACTAGATATTGTAATTGTAATTCTTGCTTGATAACTGTTTTGTTATATATAAATTTACTATGTTAAAGTTAAAACTTTCCTTTTTTATTAGACAAAAAAGGGGAAGTGCTGTGGGATGTCTTTCTATATGTTATGAATATGTGTGGCTCCCACTGGATAATAAATAAAGCTGTTTTGGCCTATGGCAAGAAAACTTACAGCCAGGTGGGAAATCCAAGCAGAGATACAGAGAGAAGAAGGGCAGAGTGGAGAGAGATGTGAGCCAAAGGAACAACAAGATACCAGAAGACTGGTAATGCCATGGCCACGTGGCAACATATAGATTAATAAGATGTGTTCTAACACACCTTAGTCTTTCCTTGCTGAGGCTGACTTGGTTCTGCCTGGTAGTTAATGTTAGCATTTTCTTAATAGCTTGCAGTAAGGTTTTCATTCACTTCAAAGCACTTTTCAGGATGTAGCTCAGTGGTAGAGTCCTTGCCTAGCCATGAGGAAGGTGCCATATTAGATCCAGAGTGCCTCAAAATATCCAACCAATCATATAAATAAACAAGTTCCCCCCCCCACACTTGATAAAAACAATAGGAGCAAAATATATACGGCAAGAAAATTATGACATTAATTATGGTTCTGTGTTTTGTTTTGTTTTCTTTTGAGACAAGATCATACTGCGCAGCACTGGCTGGCCTGGAATTCACTTTGTGGATCAGGCAGCCCTCAAATTCACAGAGATCTATCTGCCTCTGTCTCCTGGGTGCCTGGATTAAAGCTGTGTACTATCATGCCTGGCCAACATTAATTCTACATTAAGCATGCAGCTCATTGGGATTAAGTACACTTATCATGTTCAATCATCACCTTCATTCATTTACTCAGTGTGTGTGTGTGTGTGTGTGTGTGTGTGTGTGTGTGTGTGTGTATGTGTGTGTGCCCACGCGCACTTGCCAGGGCATGCACCCAGGACTTCGGCCATGTTAGGCAAGCATTCAGCTACTGAACTACATTCTCAAAACATGGATCCTTCCCATTATGCAAAATGGAAACATTATACATACTAAACAATAACTCTTCATTTACCCCTCCCTTAGCTCCTGGAAGTCATCATTCTGCTGTCCACATCTATTGATTTCAGCACTTCTAAGTGCCTCATGCAAGTGGACTCATACCACATTGCCCTTTGTGCCTGGCTGAACTTGCCTCACCTATGTTGTAGCATGTGTAAGCATTTTTTAAAAAATATTTATTTATTTTTATATACAAGTACACTGTTTGCATGTATGCCTGCATTACAGAAGAGGGCATCAGATCCCATTATAGACGGTTGTGAGCCACCATTTGGTTGCTGGGAATTGAATTCATGACCTCAGGAGGAACAGCTAGTGCTCTTAACCACTGAGCCGTCCCTCCAGCCCATGTGTAAGAATTTATTTCTCTTTTAAAGCTAAGTAATATTCCACTATGTATATCTATTATATTTTTTACCCATCCATTTGTTCGTGAATACTGGGTTGCTTCCATGTGTTAAATATTGTGGTATGTACACAGGCATTCAAATGTGAAAGATTTTGTTTTGTTCTTGAGACAGCATCTCATGTAGCCTCATGCTATTGTTTTAATTTGTCAAATAAAGCCTTACTCTGTAGCCCAGGCTAGCCTCTAATTTGCAATCCTTGTGCCTTAGAATGTGAGCCTTATGGACATGTACTATCACACCTGGATCTAAAATCATTTTTTAAATCCTTAGAAGTATTGTAGAGTTCTTAAAGCCATGCTGGCAACTGGATCTGGAAGTAGGCATTAAAGAAGAGCATACAACATTCGTTCAGGCACAGTGGCGTATGTAATCCAGGCACTTGGAAAGTAGAGGCAAGAGAATCAGGAGTTCAAGGCCAGCCTCAGCTACAAAGTCACTTCAGATTGCAGGCACCAACGTAGATGATGCACACAATCCAAAGTCCTGATGGGTCTGACTTACAATAGCCATAAGGTAAAACAGAAAACTTCAGTGTAGAATTGCTACTCTTGAGTGTCAATACAAGATTCTTTAAAAATTATTGTTATTTATTTATCCATTCATTTATTTAGCTGTATATATGTGGGCACTGTACTGTAGTGCCCTGCAGAAGACAATTTTCGGACTTTGATTCTCTCCTTCATATATGCTCCAGGGATTGAAGTCAGGCGGTCAAGCTTGGCAGCAAGCACCTTTACCTGCTGACCTACTGAGCCATAGGACCTGTCTTACACGAGATGTTTTTCCTTTTTAAATACTTATTTTACTTTCGTTATGTGTATGTATTTGTGTGTGGCACCTTAAGAAGACAGAGGTGTTGGGTTCCTCGGAGCTGGAGCCACAGAAGGTCGTGAGATGCTGAGAACTAAACTCTGAAAGTATGTGCTCTTAGCCACTGAGCCACCTCTCCAGCTGCCAACACAAGGTTCTTAACAGGGGGTCAACAACGCAACAGCGGGAGCCAGTGGCTGGCCCTTGCAGGGGGTTGCCACTAGCTATCATTCAAGGTCCAGAGATAGCCCCAGAAAGCCAATAAACTAAAGTGGATATTGAATTCTGTACCCAGCACACAAAGCCTGGAACGGAATTTGTACTCTCCTTCCCTCAAGTCCTCTGATTCTTCCACTGAGGGGTTTCATGGATCATGTAAAAGTGGACCCACCTCTGTTGGGGTGACTTGTTTCCTTCTCCGCAGAGTGGCTCGTCACCATTTTGACAGTGGTTGTACTCTTATGTTCTTCGTGACCACGGTCTGGGACGGCTGGGGTTGAGAGATCCTCAATGGGAACCTTTGTTCTCCTCTCTCTCTCTGTTGGTACCTGTTGGAAGGGAACGAGGCGAAAGAGAAAATAAAGCCGGAGGTTTGAAATGTACAGTGTCTGTCTTCCTGCAGGAAAGGTTTTAAGGTAGCATACATTCAACAGACACAATTATAAATTCCAGATGGAAACAAACAAACAAACAAACGAACAGGGTGGAGATGGGAATAAAACCAAGTTCAGTCCAGAAGTGAACTTTAAATGTTCGGCATGCAGACTTCCTGTCCCTTAGTGCTTTCAAAAACACTGGCTCACTACCCATAATTTTTTCTCTCCCTGGAACTTGAGTAACACTTTCCTCTCTTAACATTGATTTGGCAGAACTGTGTGAAGGAGGAGAGCTCACTGTCACTGGCAGCTTGCTTTGTACCAGGCCCTTTAAATACGATCTCAATATTCTCAATACACCACAGGAAACTTTCTAAAGTAAATCCAATGAACAAAGCTGAAGAGATTTCATAATGTGAGCTGATTTCCTGCAGGAAAGATTCCTCACAGCCATTCTGTGACAGTGGAAGGCTAGGAAGTGGTTCTGGTTTTATGTGTAAATGTATGTAGGGGTCGGAGGGGTGGACTGTTGTGGAATATCCCTTTACACTGTGTAAAGATGTGTCACCGTGATTGGTTTAATAAAGAGCTGAACGGCCAATTTCTAGACAGGAAGAGGTTAGGCAGGACTTCCAGGCAGAAAGAAAAGAAGAGGAGAAGAATCTAGGCACGAGAAAGATGCCAGGAGATGGAGAGGAAACAGGAGGTGCAAGATGGAAGAGAGGTAAAAAGCCAGGAGACAAAACATAGATTAATATAAATGGGTTAATTAAAGCTATAAGAGCTAGTGGGACAAGCCTAAGCTATAGGCCACACTTCCATAATTAATAATAACTAGCTGTATCATTTTTAGTTAGCTGGCATCCCAAAGAAAAATCTATCAGTACTTATGGTGCCCAATGTGGGGCTTGAATATCTAAACATAGGGCCTGAGAAAGCTAAGAAAAGTTCTTTATAAGGAGCAAAATATAGCTTCCTAGTCCTGCACTCTCTCAGGAGGGTTAGTGCTTAGGGAAATATAGAGGGACAGCTACCAGCTGCTATCTGTGGGCTGGAGCCAGCCACCAGCACCATGCCCCACGCTGGGGCTGACACAGCAGTTTAAGATTTGTCTCACGTAGTCAGAGAATGCTACAGGTACTTAGTAAACCCAGATCCAGACACCGAAAACCTCTAACAAGGTACAGTGTGTTTAAAAATGTGCTTGGATGCTAAAGAAAGAAAAGAAAATGGGGACAGACTGTCGTTTTTAAAAGTTTAAAAATAATGAAGTAAAGTCTTTAAAGAGAGAATAAAGTAATACAAAAAAATTAAGCCATATAAGGATGAAAAATATTATAACACAAGGAGTTTGAACCCTATATGGTGCTTGGTTAGTTTTGAATTTTTAAATGCTAGTGAACAGAAAACAGCAGCAGCTGAGATATTGCATTATGAAAGGGAATGCTAAATTAAACCGGCCTATATACTTTAGAGATGTCTTGGCTTCAGAATGGAAGTTGGGGAATGTGTTGTGTTGGGGGAGAGGTTGTGCTTTAGTTTCCACAGGAAACAAAAAGCTATGGATTCCTTCAAAATTAATAAAGATTGGATTTGACTCGGGGAGACCACCTGAGGATCTGAGGATCTTGGCTACAGGCATAAGGGAAGAAGCCAGGAAAGACTACAGGGCAGGTGACATGTATGCTGATGCCAAAGCATGGGAGCAGCTCTGAGGCCGGAGGAGAGATGGTAAATCTTTTTGGCTACAGAATCCTTATGACTTATTATTATATGCCATTCTTTCATACGGCATGGATAGAGGTTTGGTTATACAGTTCAAACAAATATAAAGTTGACAAATACCTTTTATCTGCTCAAACATAAAACAAAAAAATATCTTTAACTGACTTGTGCACACTGCACATCCCATACTTGTGTTAATGCAAATATATATGATACCTTTCAAAGTTTGTGTTCTCAGAAAAAAAAGGACCAGATGCCAATAACGACAAGTAGGCCAGGTATCTAGCCCCTCAGAATGCCTCTCTTACAGTTTCCTCAAAATTCTGCATCTAGAACAACTTCAAAGCTGCTAGCTGAGATGGTCCAGCCTCACAGACTATCCAGCCAAGATTTCAGATAAGCTCCATACTTTCTCATCAAACAGAGAATGGACAACAAATGATATAGTTAGCTCTCCCAGGACTTGATCATTATCCTAATTTCCTCAGGGTCCTCTTGTTGCACGAATTCTAAAATTGGGTGCCACATTGGGCACCAGATGTAGTACAAAATCTAATAGGTCTTTTAATAAAAAACCTAGAGCCAGATATTGAGGTAAATGCTGAAAGATCAGAGCAACAAAGGAAAAAGGCTCTGCCATGTCTTACCTCTAGGACTCCTCAGCCTGCAAAGGCTTTAGATCCTGTCTCTTTTTGCCTTATATACCTTTCTCCACCCATCCATATCACATCCTTCTTAGGGCTGGGATTAAAGCTATATGTGCTTCCCAAGCAAAGGCATAAGATCTCAAGTGCTGGGATTAAAGGTGTTTGATTCCCAAGTACTGGGATTAAAGGTGTGTCACACCACTGCCTGGCTCTGTTTTCCCTCCTAGACTGAGTCAATCTCATATAGTCCAGGGTGGCTTTGAACTCACAGAGATTCAAATGGATCTCTGCCTTCCAAGTGCTCGGATTAAAGGCGTGTGCCACCACTGCCTGACCTTTATGTTTAATCTACTGGCTTGTTCTGTTCTCTGATCTTCAGGCAAATTTCATCAGGGTACACAATATATCACCACATTTCCGCTTTTTGTCTAAAATAATAAAAGGTTATAAGAAAAACATAACATAAGAAAAACTATATACAATAAGTATATACAATATATACAGTCAAGAATTGCATTAACAATGCCCAGTCCATAAACATTTTTGAAAAATTCAGAGAAAATACTCCATTATCTATCCTATTTTGGTGAGTCCAAAATGTTGTACCTAATTCACTTTCTATCTTAACTTGTATTACCAACCCCAAACTATCTTTTGATGTCTTTCAAACTTATGCACTTTATACCTCTTTAGTGAGTTTCTTTTCTGAATTTGTTAACAAGAAAACTATAACTATCTAATCTTCAACTCCCTTAGAGACCCAAGAAGGAAATAATATTAACTGAGTAAGCAGGAAGTGCAAATAAGCAACTTCCAAAAAATATGAGAATTGACAGAAACAGCTAGCTGCTCTGGACACCCAAGGTTCCTCTGCAATGTTGGGGCATTCATCTTCAGCCTACAGGACTAGCATATCTGACAGACTCATCTGTGAAGTAGGATTTTTCTAAAGGGGTGTCCTACCTTGTCTTGGCAAACTTTAGCAGTCCTTCCTTTTGTTTCCTGCTTGTCCATTTGGACAGCATACTGTCAGCAGTCAAGGCAAGGGCATTTTCTTGCCCGGTGGCTAACTTTTGCCACAGAGAAAGTAAATTCCATAGAGTTTCTTTGATGTCCATCATTTGCTCTGAAGTAGATTGGTGCTGCCAGGAGCAGACATGTCTCATTATCATAAGAAAAGAATCTATGTTATTAAAATATCTTAAATGCTATGTTTCTGTAGCTCTCTAAAGTGTTTGAAGATGATCTATCTAAAATATATTTCTGTTTGACCTTGAAAACATACCTAATATGACAACGAGCTTAACTATAATAGGTGAATACTAACTTGCATTTCTTTATACCCTAATTAGTTGGTAATAATAACTTTCAAGTTATTATTTCAAGTCTAGTAATTTGCATTCCATTGTTAAATTAACTGTATAGGTACAATACCTTGAACAAGATTAAAAATATATCTGAAGTATTTTCTAACAAAATTAATCTCAAATTTGTATACAATATACAAAAATCCAATCCAATGTAAAACATTTAAAACAAATAGTTGCTTTTTAAAAGTATATTTGATAATCTACCTTTTTGTCTTATCATATTCATATTCTCCCTTTTTTCTTTTCAGAACAGATTAAATAATCTACTCTTTTATCCTATCATTTCTATATCTCTTTTTTTAGAGTAGATTCAATAATCTACCTTTTTATCCTATTATTTCTATATAATACATTTCTATATCATCCTCTAAAGATGTCATTGTCCCTAGACAACAATAAGCAGTCTAGAGAACATGATGCTCACATTCCCAAGAGGTGGGATAGGTGATTTTTGGTTGTTTGATGGGTTATGGATGTTTGTCATCATTTAGGGTGGTTGGTTACAAATTGTTACTGGTCATGTTCAGGGAGAAAGCTAAACAAGGGAGATTAAATTCAGGGATCTCTTTCTGAAAAGAAAAAGGGAGATGTAGTATAGAAATGATGAGATAAAAGGGTGGATTTTTGAATCTACTTTTAAATAATCACTAGTCTCAAATATTTTACATTGGTATGGATTTTTGTGTATTGATACAAACTTAAGATCATTTTTGTTAATATATATATGTTTCTATTCTTATTTAAGGTATTGTATCTGAAAGACCCTAGCCCTTCAGGCTTACACCCCCAAGCCTCAGAAAGAGAGAAACTTTAAGCACCAGGAAATGAGAAACTAAAAATCTAGTTCCAAGGGCCACCTGACTCAGCCACTACTCAATCACCCCTGTAACAATGTAACAATGTAAAAAGATTTCTGTTAAGAGATGTGCTCAACTGTGACTGGGATAGTTGCAAGTGTTCCAGGAAGGACCACTGTGACCTTTGTAAACTCCACTCCCGCCCTGATACCTCCCTTGAGGTTTCAGGAAGAATGTACATGCTGATGTGACTGTACCCACTCTGTGATCAGACCATGTTCTTGTAAAACGAAATTGTATGGGAATTGTAATCTTATGGCTTTTGTGGGTTTTTCCTTTAAAAGCCCTTATGGGGCTGCAGTAAGATGCGGCTCTTGCTCTTAGGAGCAGAGTTTGCCCTTCTGTACAGAAGCCAATAAAATCCTCGTGCTGTTGCATCAACTGGACTGGAGTCTGGGTTCTTGGGGCGCCCACTTGAGACCCTAAACTTTGGGGTCCAACAGTATCTATACAGCTCATTTAAAAATGTAATGTAAAGTTCTAGTCCTTGAAAGCTATTAAAGATAATTTTTAAAAAAGACAAGTTAACAGTTAGTCATCTGTGACAATCAAACTTGTAGTCACATTAGGTATGTTTTTGTGGTTAAACCGATGATATATTGTAGCTAGATACATGGTCTCTTCAAACACTTCAGAGATGTACAGAATATGGTATTTAAGATGTTTTAATAACCTAAGGCTTTTCATGACAGTGAGACACATCTGCTCCTGGCTGCACCAATCTATTTCATAAAAGGATGATGGACATCAAAGAACCTCCATATAGAGTTTGCTTTCTTTGTGGCAAAAACTAGCCATTTGGGCAAGAAAATGTCCTTGCTTCAACTGCTGACAGTATGCTGTTCAAACTGACTAAAGAGGACATAAAAGAAAGCAACTGCTGAACTCTGCCAGGACATGGTAGGACAGTCCTTCAAAAATTTCTGATTCACAAAAAAGTCTGTCAGATATTCTAGGCCTCTAGGCCACAGGTGGATGCCCCAACATTGCAGAGGAACCTTGGATGACTGTCCATGCTGCCAGATATATCCGTCCTTTCTTAGTTTTGGAAGTTGTTTGCTCTGCACTTCCTGTTTACTCAGATAATATTGTATTCTTCTGGGATCTTTGATGGGGTTGAAAAGTAGACAATTATAGTTACAGTTTTCCTTAGTCATGATAGAAAGTAAATTAGGTACAAAACTTTGGACTCATCAAAAGAGGATGGATAATAGAGTATTTTCTCTGAATTTGCCAAATACAAATGGACTGGACACCGTGAATGTAATTCTTACCTAGTAATTGTTTTTATTGTTTATAGTTTTATTATATTAGAGTTAAAACCTTTCCTTTTTATTCAGACAAAAAGAAGGAAATGTTGTGGAATATTCCTTTACACTATGTAAAGCTGTGTCACTGTGATTGGTGTAATAAAGAGCTGAATGGTCAATAGCTAGGCAGGAAGAAGTTAGGCAGGACTTCCGGACAGAGAGAAAAGAAGAGCTGAATCTAGGCATGAGAGACACTAGAGAAGATGGAGAGGAAACAGGAGGTGCAAGATGGAAGAGAGGTAAAAAAGCCATGAGACAAAACAGATTAATATAAATGGGTTAGTTTAGATTATAAGAGCTAGTGGGACAATCCTAAGCTACAGTCTGAGCTTTCATAATTAATAATAAGTCTCCGTAGTCTGTTATTCTTTGTGATCTGGCAGCCCAAAGAAAAGTCCATCTACGCAGTGGAGGTGTGTGAATGTGTGTTTGTTGTTTCATGAGACAGGTCTGTCACTGGCCTGGGGCATGCCTGTTAGGCTAGGCTAGCTGGCCAGCAAACCCCAGAGATCCGCCTACCTCTGCCTCTCCAGAGCTAGGCTTACAAGTAGGTACCATCACCTCTGGCCCTTACACAGGCTCTAGGGACTGAAGTCAGGTGCTCATGCTTGCAAGGCATGCACGGTACTGACTGAGCAGTTTCCCCAGCCCAGCGCTGGCATTTTAACTTTGTCATTGTTCGTCACTGAGGACAGAGTAAAGGTCTGGAGGAGGAGACACACAGTGAAGTTGTGTAGTAGCTGGCTTGGGGCTGTCATGCTCTCTCGGGGTGACCCTCTCCCACATCCCCGGAGACCTACCAAACCTCCTTGAGTCCAGTCCTTTTTAGTTCATTTATTTATTTATTCATTTATTTGACAGAGTCTCACTATGTAGCTCTAGTTGTCCTGGAACTCACCATGTAGACCAGACTGGCCCATATTTATTGAGATCTGCCTGCTTCTGCCTCCTGGGTGTTAAAATTGCAGGCATGTGACACTACACTTGGCCTCAGCTCAGGTTTGCAAATACTAGGCTGATTTCTTTCTACTTTGAGAAGATGTGGTCTATTGCTCTCAAATTGGTTGTGCCCACCACACCAGCTCTGTTGTCCCTAGATGAGACTTGGATGTACCTTCTGTCATGAGCCACACCATTATTTCTTTGTATGGCAGCTGATTTCATATATAAGCATACATCATATCCTGGCATGTGACAGCCTGCCTTTGGCGCCAACCCCCCTTTCCCTGGACACTCACCAGAGGTGCCTTGCCAGTAGGTTCATTCAGTCCTCCAGTAGCACCTGTGGTTGCTATTCCCTCTTCTAGACCTCGGGTCGCCATGCCATGTCCTGGACCTGGGGTCACAATATCATCTTCTAGCCCGTCTATAGGCCCTGAAAAAAGAAAGGGCAGTCAGGAATGTAATCTGCAAACGATGTGGGCAAAGCCAATTGGCTGCCTACAGTCACAATTATGTTTCTTATACTGTGTAAAGTGTGGTCCTTTCTGACCTGTCACAGTACCAGGGCCCACACCACTCACTGTCCTTGTGGTGCCTCTGACACACACCATGCCTGGTTGTCTCCACTGAGAAGCAAAGGAAAATGGGATGCATGGTGAAGCTGCCAGCTAGAGCTGGACAAGAACATGTCTACCCTTCCCTTTTCAAGTAGGGCTCCAGTACCTTCCCAGCTAATACATTCAGATGGGCAGAATATTGCATAGACCAGAAAAACTCCGTAGAATCATCTGAAAGGTTTTCTAGACACACCTGGGTCCATGCTCTGTGCAAACCTACAATTTCCAACAAAATAAATGTCTGTTCACTTTTTGCAATCAAACTCTCAGGGTTAGATGTGCAGCCCAGAAGGAGACCACATGTTTAGTATCCCCAAGGTGCTGGTCTCAATTCCCAGCACCAAAACATTAATCAGTCAAAAAACATTGCATAGGATTAGCAAGATGGCTGAGAAGGTAAAGGTGCTTGCTGCCAAGCCTCATAATCTGAGATCAAACCTGGGACCCATTTGGTGGAAGGTGAACCAACTTTTGCAAGTTGTCCTCTGACGGTCACATGTGGACCATGGCACGTGCCCCTCCCCCATAAATAAATAAGATGCAATAAAATTTAAAACAACAATAAAGCCAATTCTCCATTACTATTTAATTGAGATTGCTGCTTATTTGGATAATTAAGATCACTGACCCACTGACCTCATAGACTGGTCTCAACTTCTTTTTTTGAGACAGGGTCTCTCTACATATTGCTGGCTGCCCTGGAACTCAACTCTGTAGACCAGGCTGACCTCGAACTCACAGAGATCCACCTGCCTCTGCCTCCTGAGTGCCAGGATTAAATTCATGCACCACCAAATTACATATGGAGTCAGCAGTATACTTAAAGATTTTGAAATGCCCACAGGATGCTTAGTACCAAAAGCTAAACTTATTGACCCCACTGCCCTAGCTTGTGTGTGTGTGAGTGTGTAAGCAGGTGTATGCGATGCTGCGTGTGTAGAGGTCAGAGGACAACCTCAGGTGTCAGTTCTCTACTTCCACATTGTTTCAGACACATTGTTTGCCACTGTATACATCAAGCCAGCCGACCTGTGAATTGTGGATTCTCTTGCCTCCGCCTTCCATCTCTTCATAGATGCATGAGAGCTACAGATGTGCACTACTGCATCTGGCTTTCTGTGGGTTCTGGGGCTTCCAACTCAGGTCGTCATGCTGGCACGATGTGCTAGTTAGTTTCTGTCAGTCTGGCACAAACTAGAGTTACTCAGGGAAAGGGAATCTCAAGCTAGAAACTACCTCTGTCAGACTGGCCTGTGTGCGTGTCCATAGGGCATTTTCGTGGTTAAAGGTTGACGTGGGATAGTCTGGTACACTGTGGGTGATGCCACCCCTGGGCAGACAGTCCTGGGTTGTATAAGAAAGCAGACTGAGGCCTACATAGTGAGTTCCTGGCCAGCCAGGGCTACACAGTGAGACCCTGTCTTTTTGTTTGTTTGTTTTTCGAGACAGGATTTCTCTGTGTAGCCCTTGCTGTCCTAGAACTCACAAAGATTCACCTACCTCTGCCTCCCAAGTGCTGGGATTAAAGGTGTGCTCCACCACTGCCCAGAAACCCTGTTTAGAAGAAGAGGAGGAGCCGGGCGGTGGTGGCGCACGCCTTTAATCCCAGCACTCGGGAGGCAGAGCCAGGCGAATCTCTGTGAGTTCGAGGCCAGCCTGGGCTACCAAGAGAGTTCCAGGAAAGGCACAAAGCTACACAGAGAAACCCTGTCTCGAAAAACCAAAAAAAAAAAAAGAAGAGGAGGAGGAGGGAAAAAGGAAGAAGAAAAGAAAGAGGAGGAGAGGGGGAGGGGGAGGGGGAGGGGGAGGGAGATGAAGAAGAAGAGGAGGAGGAGGAGGAGGAGGAGGAGGAGGAGGAGGAGGAGGAGGAAGAAGAAGAAGAAGAAGAAGAAGAAGAAGAAGAAGAAGAAGAAGAAGAAGAAGAAGAAGAAGAAGAAGGAGCGAGCCAGCCAGCCATGGAGAGCAAGCCAGTAAGCAGTGGAGCAGTTCCTCTGTCTCTGTTTCAGTTCCAACCTCTAGGCTTCTGCCTTGAAGCATCCCTTGACGATGGTTATAATCGGTAAGCCAAATAAAGCCTTTCCTCCCCAGATCGTATTTTGGTCAATGTTTGATCACAGCAGCAGAGAGGCAAACTAAGACACATGCTTTATCACTGACTCATCTCCCCAGCCCCGACCCTGACTTGTCTGCACTCACACTTGGATGAATGACTGGGGATTGGTGGACGGGGTTAAGGCAGCCACAGGTTGAATTCCATGGTGGTGGGGTGCCACGGCCTGCATCTATCTTCCCAGATCCCATGGGCTAGAAACTGAACCCCCATATTCATAGGTCATCAGTGTTTGAAGCTGGGATTTTGGGGGGTAATGAGGATTGAATGAGGTCATCAGGATGGGGTCCCCAAGAAGTGACTGATGGGTTAGGAAGAGGAAGGTAGATCTGAACTGACACTTGCAATCTTACTGTGACGTCTTCTGCAAAGTTAAGACCTTCTGCAAAGCTAAGAGCGGCAGATACGGGCACCATGCTCTTGAACTTCCCAGCCTCCAGAGTCGTGAGGAGAATAAACACCTATTCTATAAATTACATGGTTGGGGTATTTTGTTATAGCAATGGAAAATAGATGGACTCAAATGGTGTGGGAGATGACAGTGTCCTCCTCTAACTGCCTCTATACTAACTACACCAGGGCATCTGCTCTTAATTCACGTGATCCTTTTCACGAGTTACAGATCTGACTCACTGGCTATGGGCTTCCTCCCTAGATGGAGCAGCCCTGGAAATGTCATGACTAAATGCAGTTGCGAAAGAAGAACATGTATCGGAGGAAAAGGAGGGAGGGGAGCTTGGAAAGTGCCCGCCGTAATTAAAGAGCAGATGTTTGTCCACGTCTAGGATGTTGCTCTGATGAGCAATCCTTCCTTCGATACTTGATTTCCCCTCTGTTGAGACAGCCCAGCCAGAAGCACGGCTAATAAATATTTGATCATAACTCCACTGCTGCTGCCAGCAGGGTGGGAGGCCTCTGGAGGAATGCTGTTCTGTTCCAGAGCCTTCTCCTTGCAGCTGGCCTCATTCCAGTTGCTGAGCTACCTAGCATATGAATCCTTAAAAACAAAACAAAACAAACAAACAAAAAAGCCAAAAACCCAAAACCAACCAAACAAAACTGTGTCTTGAGGTAGATTGATTCCCAGTTTTCCGAGAAGCCACCATATTGATTTCCAAAGTGGCTGTCAGTTTTGCCCTCCCGCCAGCAATGGAACCTGCACGCGCCTGACTTAGCCCCTCTCCATGTATGTGACAATTGTGTAGCTTATTCTATTTGTGGGACTCCTAACAGTGGGAGCAGGGGCTGTCCTTAACGCTTTAACTGGCTTTTGGGAACCTATTCTCATACTGGCTTGCTTTGCCCCACCTTAATACAGGGGAGGTGCTTAGTCTTACTGCAACTTGATATGCCATGCTTTGTTGATGTTCATGGGAGGCCTGCCCCCTTCTGAACAGAAGCAGAGGGGAGAAGGGAGGAATGAGAGGAGAGGAGGGAGGGGAAACTGCGGTCAGGATGTAAAATATATAAATAAATTTAATTAAAGAAAAACTCATAAATTTAATTTTAAAAAAAAACCTTAAAAACTCAGTGCGTACAAATGGTAGGCCTCCTCTTGTGGCCATTTGTACTGTGGGCTGAGGGCAGGGATTACGCCTGTGGACTACACAGATGTTTCGTGCCCTTTTTCCAGACAAGTAATCCTTACCTAAAAGCTAAGCATCCCATGGGACATCTTCTTCAATGGCATAGCGACTGGTAAGATGCCCACAGTCCCATGAGCAAACCCCACCCATGCTCCTGGAGGCAACCCTGTGAAACCCTCTCTCTCTCTCTCTCTCTCTCTCTCTCTCTGTCTCTCTCTCTCTCTCACACACACACACAAAGAAGATATGAAATCAGAAAAGGAGTAGTATGTTAGTTTGGAAGAGAATGGAGACTTGAGAGGGACCAGTAAGAGGTGAATATGGCCAGAATACACTATCACATGTATGAAAATGTCATAATGAAACCCAGTATCATGTACACTTAATACAGGCTAATAGAATACTAATACAATACTAATAGAAAACATTAAAACAACAACAAAAAGCCTTTATCCCCTGGATTGTATTCAGTTTTTAAAAATCATCAGTTGTTAAAAAGTTTCCAGGAATCATTCAGCAAAATCATTTTCCATATGCTGTCTCTAATTTAAAACAAGCCTTGCTTTAAAAACAAAAGTACTGAATGAAGCTGGCTTCAATTCCTTCATAGAAAGCTCAGTTCACTGAAAGAGTAACTCAATAAAAATTCCTCCTTGTTCTTTCTTCCCCTCGGCCCACAGAGCCAAGTACTGAAGTCTCCCTGAATAGACAAAGCATGTTTTATGAATGACCGTCAAGATTACGATGCGTGTCTTTTGTCTCTCTGGCCCAGCATTCTTTTTGGCTCCATGGGAAAGTTATCTTTACAAGATTCTCAATTATTTTGGCAGAAGGCTTTCCCTGGTGGAGGGTGTCTCCTAGGCCAGCTGCCGAGTTTCCAGCCAGCAGTTGACATCTCCTTTTCTCTTTTCTTGTGACCTTCAAGCCATGGATTGATGTTTTTGCACTCACGTGTCCTCCTAGGATTCACACACCAGCACACACACATTCAGGATTGCACATCCATGCTCGCATACAAATGCTTATGTAAGTGGAGAGTGAAAACTCTACAATCACAACCAATGCTCACAGCCTGGCTTTCCAGGAAGTTCTGGAAACATCTGTATCCCTTCCCCGTCAC